TTAAAAAATTGTGTACATATATTTGTTTATATGTATTTAATAGCCTATTGTTGATTGGGTCAAAAAATAAAAATTTCAAGGGTTTAAGTTTTTGTTTCTTTTTTATTATTATTTTTTTTTTTTTTTTTTGTATTATTATAATAATTTTTATTAAACGTTAAATCCCATTTTAATGGATTATTATTATTATTATTATTTGTTTATCGAAATGATAATGATAATAAAATAAATTTTTTTTTTTTTTTGTAAATATATATATATTTTTTTTTTTTTTAAAATATTATAAATATATATATATATCGGTAATATTAAATGTTAAGTTTTTTCCTCCTTTTGTTTTAAATTAATAATAATAATAATGATAATTTATGCACGTGGGGGGGAAGATAATAGTTAATTACTCATAAATAAATAAAAAAAATTAAGATATTAATTACGTTATTGATTTTGAAAACAATGATTCAAACAATGTTACTGTAAATAAAATATATATTTTTATTAATAAATTTAATTATATACGTCATTCAGTATTAAAATGCGTAGGAAAAAGTATTAAATTAAATTTAAAATATAAAATAAGGATAGAAAAAAAAAGTTAATGACTTGATATTTAAAATTCAAAACTATAAATAACTTAAACGAATAGGAGATAATTATTTTAAAATCTAATAAACAATAATTTTCACCTCCTTGCTAAAAATTTATTTCCATTTAATGTTTTCATCGATTCCTATTTATAAGTTTTGTTATTTTCATCGATGTTGAAAGGGTTCAACCCTTCACAAAAGAAACAAAATTTTTTTTTTTTTTTTATGTAGGAAAATATTAAAAATTTAATCATCCATTGAGTCGTAAGTACTTGAATAAATTAAACAATGTAAAATGTAATTAAACAACTGCTTACTTATTTTATTATAAATCGATTAATCAAAGTTTGGGTTAATGTGATTGTTATACAATTACATTAATAAAAATTAACATGATTATTATTTACATAAATAGTTAATTAGTTACAATAACATAAGATGTTACAACTAACAAAAAATAAATTATTAATAATAAGTGTTACTTGTGAAATTAAAAAATTATTTACAATCGTAGTGTCAATTAAATTACATGTGTGTTAAATGTGTGTTTGAAACAAAAAAAACAAATAATATTAATAAAAACAAAATATTTACACAAGTTAATTAATAAAAAAATAATAAAATAAAATCAATGTTGAATTTGCACACATTTTCACATTATTAACTTATTAAAGAAAGAAAGAAAGGAAAGACAGCAAAAAAAGAAAAAAAAAATGAGAAAAAGGTTAATAGTTTAAACCATTGAATTAACCTTAAGCAATAAAAGAATAAAATTGCAAATAATTACAGCCAATATAGTGTAAAAAATAATTTTTAAATTAGTTAAAGTTGATTTTTGATTCATTGAATGAGTTTCCATATCTTGTGTGTGTGTGTGTGTGATAAACATTTTTTATTTTAAATAATCATGAGAGATGGAGGCTAATAACGCTCCCTCCCTCCCTCTCTCCCGCCCTGCACGGTGAACAAAATTTTAATCTAATAAAAAAAACCAAAACTAATAATAAATGTAAAATAAGTTAAATTAAATTGAAAAAAGTTCAAATATAAATAAAAAATAACAAACCGGAAACGGCCATTTTGAAAAATTTTTTAAAAAAAACCACAAAGGAGAATCAGTTAGAGAGGGGTAATGAATGAGGAAGGTACTGTTCTGCGAATTAACAAGCCTGCGTAGTGCACATGTTAAAATGGGAAAACTAGTTTTTTTATAGTGTCTTATTATTATTATTATCATTATATTTTTTTTTTTTTTCGTATTATAATTAATCGGTTATAGATATTTATTTTTTTTATCAATAATGATTTTTTCACGTAAATTTAAATTTAAATAAAAACATCTGTTTTAATGTTGGACGAACAATGGAACGATCAATTTAAATTAATTTCTCATAATATAATTGCTGGTAATTTTTTTGAAGATAAAAAAAAAAAAAAAAAAAAAAATTCCTGAAGGTAAATATTTTGATCAAAATGGCGTCGTCATTCTAGTATTTTATATGGAAAATTTCTTTTTTTTTTAAACTTTTTTTTTTTTAAATTATTGTACATATATTAATTAAATTGTTTTTTTTATTATTATTATTAATATTAACAAATTAATGAGAATAAGATTTTTTTATTTATTTATTGCTTTCGTGATTGTTTTAAATATTAAAAAAAAAAAAAAAAAAAAATTTGATGTGATGTCGTTGCCGGATTTAAAATAAAAAAATAATTTTTAAGAGTGTGATATTGAAATTATATTTTGAAAAAAAAAAAAAAAACAAAAAATATAGAAAGGATTTAATGTTGTAAATGTGTTACAGTGTCAAAATGCATACTGCCAAAAAAAGTTACGACGGTAAAATAGCTGGACTATACGATCTTGAAGAAACTTTAGGCCGTGGACATTTTGCTGTCGTTAAATTGGCACGTCACGTTTTTACTGGAGAAAAAGTTGCTGTTAAAGTTATTGATAAGACTAAATTGGATGAAGTATCAAAAGCTCATTTGTTTCAGGAGGTAAAATTTTTCATTACTTTTTTATATCATATCATTATTAATTTCCTTGTTAGGTTATTAATTTATGTGTATGCACCACTTATTAATTTAAAAAAAAAAAAAAAAAAAAATGAAAACATGATTTACCTTAGTCATTTATTTATTTATTTTACTTAATCAAATAAAAATAATTATTATTATTATTATGTGTTGTGTAAGCAAATAATTTATGATGCATGATGGTATATTAAATAACATACATGATTTCATATATTAAAGTATTAGCAAATTATTATTCCTGTTTGGGAGAGGGTTCTTATTTATTTTAATTTTCTTCTCGATTTCTTCTCGTAATTATTCAATTCGAATTTTTGTTTTGTTTTCTCGAGTTTGAAAATCTTTGGAATTAAAAATTTCTCAACAATGTCACTTCTTTCTGTTTCGATATTATTTATTTTTGTATTAAAATAGGTTGGGTTTAAGTGTGTGTGTGGGGGGAAGAGGGGGAAAACAACCGACAAATTTTTTTTATTTTAATTAATTATATTGACACTCGATGTGGATGATTGTACACAAAAGTTAATAACAATTTTTTTTTAATTTTAATCAATTAATTTGGCCTAATTTATGTATTGATAATGACAATTGAAAAAACATAAAAAAATTTTTACATGTTTGCATTTTCATTTTGTTATTTAATATCGTTTAGATTTCATTATTCTTTTTCAAAAATGAATATATCTCAATAATAATGATAATATGAGTATGATAACAATTTCAATAGTCAAATTATTTCTTTCATAACCATCATTTCATTCATTTAATTTTTTTTTTTTATGTTCGATTTAATTTTCATAAAGAAGAATAGGAAAAAAAAAAAAAAAATTTTTTTAATTTCAATGAAAGGTATTGTTTAAAAAATTTAATATCGAGAAAATTGATGGTGTGGTCATTGTCGCACACACACACACACACATATTTTCAACATTAATAATTATTTATTTATTTATTAAAATATCAAAAATAAGGAAAAAAATTTTCAAGTGCAAACAATGTATAATCACAAAGCAAAAAATATCTTTTTATTTTTTTATTTTTTTTTTTATTGATTTTATTTTTTCTAAAATGTAGCTAGCGTGGGTACCAATAAAAATATTTTTAGCCAAAACTAAAATAGCAAAAAAAAAAATATTCAGAAGTTAACCTTGAATCAAAAATAAAATCCTCCGGTATTGTAAATAATTTTCTATATTGGAAACACCCTTATTAAATGTTTTAAAAAAAAAATAAAAAAAAAAAAGGAAAACAAGTTTTTTAGGTCAGCAACTACTTAGAGAAAAAAAAAGAAAACGTTTTATTGGATTTAATATTAAATTATCTTTTCTCTCTCTCTCTCTCTCTAACCCGGTAAAAGTAATGAAATTAATAATAATAATAATAACAATCATCATCATTCTCATCATCATCATCTTTGTTGTTTTCGTTTTTGTTTTTATTGTTTTTTTTTTTTATTATCATTATTGTTATTAATTTAAAAAGAATTTTCACATTATAAAACGAATGAATGAATGAATGAATGAATGAGGGAGTGAGCGAGAGAGAGAGAGAGAGAGAGAGAGAAAGAGAGTGAGCAAATAAATAAATAAAAACAAAAATTTTAAATATTTTTAATTTTTGTGTGATTTTTATTTAATTATTTTTTGGCAAATGTTGTATATTATTTATTTATTTATTTATACTTATTGATTTTATTTTTGCCGTGAAAAATAAAAAGAAAATAAAATTAAAAAAAATTTTTTTTTTTATAAAAAGTCTTTGGCTTTGAATGAAAATTATTTTTACGTTTTTCTATCTCTCTTACTCTCTTTCTCACTCACTCTTTAAGAAAAAATTTAAACGTTTTTATTAAAAAAAAAAAAAAAAAATGAACATAAAAAAAAAATATTAAAAATTTTTTTATTTTTGAGTTCGTTTGTTTGTTTGTGTGCTTGTTTGTTTGCTTGTTTGTTTGTTTCTCCCTCGTGTTACTCGTCCGGTAAATTTATTTAAACTTAAACATTGTCTCTCTCTCTCTTATACAGTTTTTTTTATTTTATTATATATATATATATATATATATATATATATATATATATATATATATATATAATTCATTTTGTTTTTTTTCCAAACTGTAATAACGGTATCGTTTGGTAACAAAAACAAAAAACAAACAACAAACAACAAAATGTTTTTTCATTTTTATTTAATGTTGATTCTCAAAGTTTTTTTTTTTTGTCAGCACCAAAAAAAAAAATGAAATTTTCCCTAAAATTGTATTTTTTTTGTTACACGCGAAAATTTTTTACAGACACGCCATATTTGATTTCGTGTCACACACTCTATTATTATTATTATTATTATTACCAATTTTTTGTTTTTCGCTAGGGAAAATGTAAAGAAAAAAAAAAAAATTTTCTCTGATGTTTCGCAAAAAAATTAAACAATCAACTTGGCATAATTTTTTTTTTTTTTTATTGTTTTTAAATATTTATTAGGTAAGAAATTCGTTGTCAGTGTCGGAATCAAAAAAAAAAAAAAAAAGAAAATTTTTGACAATGAAAACGTGCGTACGATTTTCTAATGACACGATAACAATCGTGAAAATCTTTTCTTGCTAAACATTTTTTGTTTTTTTTTTTTATCAAAATCGATATCAGGT